TGAATAATGAGAGTGGGCCCAAGATTTCTTTTAGCATGAGATGGTTTGTTTGAGTTTTGCATCACGCCATTTGGCACGTGTAGTGTGCCCGCTCCTTGCTAGAGACCAAAAGAACTTACATTGAAAGGACTGCAATGGGAGAGATGCTTGGTCTACATAGGCAATGTTTTGGTATTTGTCACACTTGATTGTGTGTTACAGAACCTAAGAATGATATTCTAGTGGATAAAAAGAGGCAGACTTGAAATTGAAACCAGGAACAGATAGTAGTTCCCTAGTGGCAAGCTCTGTCATGTAATTCCTTGGTCATATTACAGGTAGAGATGGAGTTTTAATGAACATTGCTAAGATAGTAGTGGTGAGAGACTGTTCTTAACCTGTGAACAAGTGAAAAAGCAGAAGCAATTTTCTCGATTTTGTGTCATATTATCAATTGCTTTTGTCAAACTCTTCAACATAGCAGCACTGTTGTATGCTCTCACTAAAACTGAGAAACAATTTAGATGGAGCAAAGAATGTCCACAACAAGATTATGAGTTCTTGTCAGACACCAACGCCAGTGATGATGGAATCAGAGCAATATTATTGCCGGATAGAGTACAATGTACAACAACATATGCTTGCCATACACGCATGGTTCCAAAGTGCAGATACTGCCTGACGAAGAAAGAATTGCTTGCAGTTGTAGTATTCAAAAAAACATCATTGATATTACTTCTATGATAGAAGATACACTGTCCAGGTGAACCATGCTTTACTGAAATGGTTAATGAGCTTTAAAATTTAGAATAGATGACAGCAGGCTGGATAACAACATTGCAAAAATATTAATTGCCGGTGTTTATTTTTCTCATTTTTAGGCTTATTGGATTTCCAATATTTGGCTAGCTATTAGCATTTAACCCATAATTTTCAAACTGCAAGAATGAGACTTCGTCATAGTGCATTACCCATGCTCACAACACAGAAACATGGATGGAGTTTCTTTCATTTTGTGACCTGGCATAAGCTGATGGGTTGGACACTTGATTCACAGTCTGCAGAGTGCAGGACCAAATTTTGCCGCCGAACATGCTCGAACTTTCAGCCATTGAGAAGTTATAATGTGACTGTCAATCCCACTATTCATTGGTTAAAGAGTAGCCCAAATGTTGGCAGTTGATCAAAAGTAAAGACGACAACTTTTAAGTTCATAAAAGGTTTATGAATGTTTTTCCCACTTCCAATAATGCTATGAGGTTTTAAAGGAATCAGTGCTAAATCTTCAAATTATTATATTCAAAGAAGACGGAATTCTAAAAACAAGATATTTATGTGGTATCAAAATAACTCTTAATGACATATGACTAACTGTCGGTCAAAGTAGCATTCTTTTAAATCATGAACTTGATTTAAAAACACGACTTCACATGCAGACAATTGCAGTGATCTGTGACTGAAATTCATACTTAAAATATAGAATATATGGTGTAAAAATATGGCATTAAAACTATCTTGCTGATACGGATTAAATAATAAACATATTTGCTCATAGCTATATTTTGTTTACTTAATAAGCACGAGAGAATATAATTAGGTTCAGACACTGTTTATAAAATGACATCATAA